ACACATCTATCATTGATTTTCTCCACTTTGCTTTTTACTGGAACTATGAATTCCGGTTGCCATCGAAGGAGAACGCAATATTGGTCATGCTTACTTCCCTATTCTTTAGTTTTCTTCCTCGTGCCTTACAGTTCAAACCAAACTCCAGTCACTGGTATAACCCTGCCCCCTCCACCCTACCTTTCTCTTTCACTAAAATGGAGGACTTACTTGATGGTTTATAAAAACTTAGCCTTTTGGGGGGCTTTTCTGGTGGCCTATGGGTTAAGTCTCATCGCTATCAATGCAAGAGCCTGAGTTCAATCGCCAGCCAGGGAGCTACCTAAACGGCACAACAGACCACTCCTGTCTCCCTCAGTAGTGCATTTCAGTGATCTGCCTGTTCTGCTCCCCACTCTGTCTCTGGTGAATCCTCTCACCTTCACACCTCTGGCCTACACTGAGTTCTTCTATGAAAAAAATAAACAAGATCTTTTTTAAAAGGAAACAAATTAGCCTCTTCTCTGCGGAAACTATTTCTGATTTCAAGTGATCTGAACAAAAGTCTACCCTCAGGATTTTTTTTTAAAGATTTATTTATTTATTCATACAGAACTGGGGTACAGGCCAGAGATGCGGAGGGTGAGAGGATTCACCAAAACAGAGTGGGGAGCAGAACAGGCAGATGGGCGAGGTACATTGCTGAGGGGAGCAGCGGGCGGGTCAGGAGAGGTCTGCCGAGCCATGTGGATCTCCTCCAGGGCAGACAGGGATCGAACTTATGCAGAAGTGGCTTAAGCTTCTTAGTGCAGTGCTTTAGCCCGCTGCGCCACCAGGGAGGGCCTACCCTCAGGATTTTTGTTCACACTGAAGAGCACCTGCTCTTTAACCTACCAGATATTTTTCTTAAATGACTTACTTTTAAAGGTTCAATAAACTTGATCTGAGGATATTTTATATCACTCCTATAAATGGTATTAATTCCTAGAAACAGGAAGACATTTAAAAATAAATATGATAAACCCCAAATGAATTTTGGTTTAGCATATACTGTGACCTGCCCAATGTTCTGCTTAAAACATGGCTGTGTAGTGTAGTCTTTCTCGGTACCCAATTTGGTGTGTTTAAAAGTGTATTCATGTATCATCTCAAATCATGCCCTGTAACACTTGAATTCCACACTCGGGAAAGACAAGTTCAAACTTTTTCTTCTTTTCTAGAAAGTTTTAATTATGTGTCCATATGCGTTTTTGTCATTTGGGCTGGACAGTAGATGAGGCTGTTATCGCCCTGCGTGGATCAGCCTGCCTAATGAACTTGGCATTTTGGCATTCCTGCTGTATTAAAATAACATGGCATTTAGTGTATTACATGAGCCTTTTTAGTGAGGGTCAGAAAGGCATCTGTTTGGAGGCAGCCTATGATGGCAGCTGAGAATGACGCAGGATTAAACAAAGGGGAATTTGTCCTTTCAAAAAGAATTAGAAAAATCTCTGAGCTGGCCACTGGGTTCTTCCAAGGGATGATGCACATCGCAGCTGGCATGGCTTGAACTGAACTGTACAGCCACATGTCTCCTGGGTCATTGTCACTGAGCCCTGAGTCTCAAGGGGGGCCCTGTATACACCCATGAGCCTCGGTCTGCCTCCTAAGTGAAAGAGTCCCAAGAGAGAGCGAGTCAGTCAGGAACCAGCAGAGGAGAGGCTATATCGTACAACTTTCCAGGTGGTAGAACTGGCATCAGAAAAAGGCTATTTTAAATGATCCTATTTCAGAAATGTCTGTGGATTGCACAAAATTATTGGGTTGACTTTTTTTTTTTTAAGATTTATTTATGCATACCAAACTGGGGTACAGACCAGAGGTGCAGGGGTGGCGAGAGTCTTCACCAGAGACAGAAGGGGGGAGCAGAACAGGCTGCTGACGAAGTACACTGCTGAGGGGAGCAGCGGGTCAGTCAGGAGAGGTCTGCCACGCCATGTGGTCACCTCCTGGGCAGGCGGGGATCGAACTCATGCTGACCTGGCTTTAGCTTCTCAGTGCTGTGCTTTAACCCGCTGCGCCATCAGGGAGGGCTGGTTTTAGCTTCTTAGTGCTGTGATTTAACCCACCACCAGGGAGGGCCTGGGGTGACATTTTGATGAGGTTGAATCTTCATATTGCCCCACATCTCACCACATGAACCGTATACACCATGGATAAGCCTAGAAACTATTGTGAAATGTGTAAGTGAAAGAAGTCAGACACAAAAGGACAAATCTTGTGTGATTTCATTTTCTGAAATACCCAGATTAGCAAATGCATAGATGGAAAGCATATTAGCGGTTGGCAGGGGCTGAGTGGAGGGTGCAATTAAGTGGCTGCTTAAAGGCCACAGGGCTTCCTGTCATGATGATGAAATGCTCTGGAATCAGATAGTGGCGATACATGTACAACTTTGTGACTAGGTTAAATGCGCCTAGTATTTAGTGGTGAATCTTCAATTATGTGCATTTTACCACAATACTAAAAATACCTCCCCACAAATTACTTTTTAATTACAAGGGATAATGTATATGCTAGAAAAATCTGGTGGACCTTAACCACTTAGAGTTAGCATCACTGATAGCGGACAAACTGACATCCTGTAGCCTGGTAGGCTTCACGGAGACATGTCATTTATGAAGTATTCCTGCCAGAAAAGCATGACCTGAACCCAGGCATTAGGAGGCATTGAACAAAAGGGGGGGACATTCTACAAGATAAATAACCAGCAGCCTTGCATAATAGTAAGATCTTGGAAGGCCAAGAAAGACGAAGATTCTAGATTAAAGGAGACTAAAGAGGTACGTCTCTCAGATGCAACACATGGATCCTGGATTTGCCTCAAACCAGGAAAAGAGAAAGCTAAGATATTACTGAGATAATTGGAGAAATGTGAATATGAAGTGTTTGACTATTTGAAACTATTGATCTCTATACTGTGGTTATGTGAAAGTACATCCTTGTTTGCTCGAAGTGCATACTGACATATTTAGACATGAAATAAGGTGGAGGCGCTTATTGTCAAATGGTTCCCCCAAATTTTGTGTTTGTAGACTTAAAAATAAAGCTAATCTATTTAAAATAGGTGCTAAAATAGCATAGTGAAAAAAAGGTCTGATACAGACTTAAAAAAATAGAACTGAAATTTTGTTTTAGAAAATTTTAGTAATAGCAATGGGTCGCAAATTATTGAAATGAATCAAACTGTTGATCTTGTCGATTATTAGCATTCACTCTCCCAAGTAGAGCAGCTGATGTTACATCTTCATGGGATATTTGTCTGTCATTTGACCAAAATGATCATGTTTACAAAAGTGTTCAAAGACTTCTTCAACGTTCCCAAGTTTCACTTTTAATGTTTTTTCAAAAATAAACAAAAACCAAAAACAGCACGATCGGGCGCCCTCCCTGGTGGCACAACGGGTTAAAGCTCAGCACCATGAAGCTATATTGCAGCCACAGCAGCACAAGTTCAATCCCTGGCCAGGGAGTGACCCACAGGGCGCAGCAGACCCCTCCTGACTTGCCAGGTGTTCCACTGAGCAGTGAATTTTGAGCAGTGTATTTCAGTCAATCTGACTGTTCGCTCCCAATTGTCTCCGGTGAATCCTCTCACCCCCTCACCCCCAACTCTCACCTGTACCCCAGTTCTGTATGCATACATAAATCTTTTAAAAAACAAAACAAGACAAAACCAAACCATCCAAATTTATCTTTTCTGCCTTTTATAGCTAACTAGACCAGGTGAACAAGTCCTCCTGTGGTTGGGTCTTTTCTGCGGTCTTCAAGTATCTCTGCCATCAGATTGGTACAATTCTGGTTCTTTAGCAAGATTCCTATTTCACTTTACGAGCAATTCCCACTGTATATTGCCAGTTCATAGTGGAAAGCAATTAGCCCTGTAAATTTACTGGGTTCACATCCTATACCTCATTCTCAATCGTAGTATTTGGTCAAAAATTGAGGCTTCCACGAATATGGCTGCACCATTTCAGCTACTTCATCAGGAAAGGAGCGTGGGGAACTCAGGACGGCTCTTCTGCCGGAAGTGACGTTAGCCAAGGTTCTGGCCATTGGCCAGAATTAATTACAAGGCCGCAACCCAACTGCAAGGGAGGCTGGGAAATGTAGTCTTCCGGTACCTCCACCCCGAAAAACAGGCCGGGTTATCTGCAACACCTTGTATTTGCGTGTTGTGGTCAGGTGTTACATGAACAGGGGTAGAGGCTAAGAAAACGGTATTTGCTGGGAATTAATTTTACAAGTGGTCTGATCATTAGGAAACATTTTCGTGTCATGATCACGTTTGCTTTGTTATAACAGTAGAGAGTATAAAAATGGGTACTGGGCCCTCCCTGGTGGCGCAGCGGGTTAAAGCACAGCACTGAGAATCTAAAGCCGCTTCCTCATGAGTTCGATTCCCGCCTGCCCCGGAGGTGACCACATGGCGTGGCAGACCTCTCCTGACCTGCCCGCTGCTCCCCTCAGCAGTGTATTTCGTTGATCTGCCTGTTCTGCACTCCGCTCTGTCTCTGGTGAATTCTCTCACCCTCCACATCTCTGGCCTGTATCCCATTTCTGTATGCACAAATAAAATAAAATCTTAAAAAAAAAAAAAAAATGGGTACTAAGAAACTGAGCATCCTCTGGTTCTGCGCAGTGTCCCGCGTCATCCCCCGGCAGCCGGGGGGTCAGGAACAGCACCTGAACGCAGACGCAGCTGTTCCTTCTGGCGTGCGTGTTCACCATGTGCTGTTTGGAAGAGGTGCGCTGTTTTCCTGATTGCGCCTCGCCCCTCCTCTCCACAGGACTTTATGGTGTCTTTGGGACCAGGAGCAACTCCCAATTCCCTTCGTCCGGTGCCGTCTCCCGGCGAGGGAAGATGGAAAAAGCTGCTTTTGATCTCCTAAGACCCCACTACAAGTTGCTTATTTTTCCTCGTCCGTTTGCTTCAAGTTTGAATTTCACTAACAAGTTTGAATTTCTTTCATCTTCAGTGCGTCTGTCTCTCCGGGCTGTGAAGTCAACCCCTTGCCCGCCAAGCCTAGTAAAAATGTTGGTGCTTCTGGCTTTCATCATCATCTTCCACATCACCTCTGCCGCGCTGCTTTTCATAGCCACCATCGACAGCGTAAGTTCCCTTTCCTTGTGACTAAACCAGAAGCCCCAGGATGCAGTCAGTGGAAGCAGAAATAAGTCCTCCTGCAAGGTGGTTACAAGTGGGTCCCTCCAAGGCACGCCCCTCTCCTCCGCCCAGGCCTGAGGATTCGTTGCTTAACGTGCCAGGTTCAGGTTTTGGTGGATGGAGCGCTTGGTCGTCTTTTCCCCGATTCCCTCACAGCCTGGAGCGAAGTCTTGGCTGTAGGACGTCCTTGGAGGAAACCACTTACATTCAACCCTCTTCTAGATCAATTTGTCAACCCTGAAATTGTCACTTTGGGCTGCATTGTTCTTTGCCTCAGTGCATGCTGCCCTTAAGAGCATCCTTGGTCTCTACCTACAGATGCCTGTCACTCCCACCCCTGCTTGTGACAACCCACAATGTCTTCAGACATTGCCAAGTGTCTTGACCCCCCCGGGAACCCATCCTAGGAGATGTAGCACCCCCTCCTCCCACATCTCCTTACCAATAAAACCCTGGCCGTGTCCTCTCCAGAACTCATGCTTGGAATTTTCTTGACTCTTCCAATGAGAAATTTAACTCGTTAGTAGCTAGTTCGTAGCCATGTGGCAGGAATGTATTTGATCCATAGACTATTTGCATGAACTAATATCCCTCTTAGCAGGAAATGAAGCTTTTACCAGAGCTCCTCTGATGCCCACATCTTGATCCAACGGCCGGGCTTCAATCCTGACTATTTCAGACTGTAGAAATCTTTAGAGGCAAAAACATTTCTAGAAAAGCTAAAAAGTCTATCACAGGCATGGCTACTACTACCAGTAGTTGTCCATATAAGACTGCTGTTGATTAATCATCATAATAACAACAGGCACCATCCCAATACCTGTCGCTGACCAGCAGCATCTCGTTTGGTCCCCACCTCGAGTCTCTGAGAGGGGACAGTTTTCCAGAGGAGAGAGTTGAGCTTCTGAGCAGTGATGGTGCCTGCTGGCATTTACACTGCAGGAAGTGGCATGAGAGCTGCACTGGAGATAGCCGACCCTGGAACCCGTAAGAGGAGCGGGGTGCAGTTTGGATCTGGAAGCTTCTCAAAGAGCTGCACTGAGTCTCCAGGGTAGGGATCACAGGAATGCTGGGGGTTAAAGCTTTTGGAACTGGCCATTATCCAAAGGGTGAATGAGTGCTGCCGAAGTGAGTGCTGCCGAACATTCTTTTAGAATCTTCTTTTTCAGTTTCTTGGTGCCAATCCTTTGGCACCTGCAAAGTGCTCAGACAGGGGTAGATAGTTAATCCTGAGGAGCACATACTGAAATCAAACAGAGGGGCTTTTTACCAATTAGTGAGTTGGCCATGTAAGATTCGCTGAGGCTGGAGTTATATGTGGCCTTGGAGTGGGAGCTGAGTGGATATTTTATGGACTGGGTGGATGGGGGGTGGGGTGGGCAAGAAGATTTCAGACTTTGGGTGGAAGGAAAGCCATCTAGGACGGACAGGACCATGAGCACGGAGAGCTCTAGAAGCAGCTGGACAGAGGCAGGAGCATCCTTGTTGATTATTTGCTCCTAACAGGCTCCTTCGCTGACTCCCTCTTCCAAGGCCCTGGAGTCCGGTGGGCTTCACCACTGCTGGCTCTTGCCTCACGCCTTGCCCCGAGCGGACCGAGGTCACCGTGTCACTTCCAACAGGCCTGACAGTGCATGGAATATGCTGACTCTCGGGTCCCCCCAGATCTGCTGGGTCGAGTCTGCATTTGAACCTCACTCCCTAGTCCCACAGGGTCACACCGCAGATTGTGGCTGGCCGGTCTTTTCCAGCTGTGCCTCACATGTGATCGGGAGTTTGCACTGGCATTAAAGAGTGGCCTCTGCCTGCATGTCGGTTTTGTGTTTTAGGCCTGGTGGGTAGGAGACCAGTTTTATGCAGATGTCTGGAGGATCTGCTTAAATGCCACCAACTGCACAGAAGTCAACGACAGCATGCACGGTGAGTGGGAGCCTGTGAGGAGCTCCAGGGCTGAGGGTTACAACGAACACCCCACTTTGGCATTCCTGAGGGCCTTACGCAGTCACCCCACTGCCTGGACCCAATTCCAGAGATACTTTGATTTATTTCATCTTGGCATAGCCTGCAGGTGTTTCTTATGGCACTGTCATTTGCAAACTAGGAAATGTGGGCTGCTAAGCCTGCATCCGTTCAGTGGGATGACTGTCTGTGTGCACCCAGGTGACCAGGACCCAAAGCAAGATGGGACCATTGCTGTCACTCTAGAACAGTCCCTTGGGCTCCTTTCCAGTTTTGGAACCACTTATGAATGGAGTCCGGCAGGATGTGTGTGTGTGTGTGTGTGTGTGTGTGTGTGTGTGTGTGAGTGAGTGTAGGAGGGAATGGTCCCCTCGAGTGACCTACTGTGCAGCAGGGATGAGCCAGGCCTATGGCTCTAGACAATTCTTTCCTCATGAATGTGGCTTCCTGCCAGTTCTTTTCAGGGGAAGTTGCAAAACAACAAAAACAGAAAGGGGAAGATTTATCCTTGGGTTTTCCTCTGTGGCGGTGGGCATTGCCCCTCACCCTCCTAGCTGCGTCCTGGTGATAGCATCCAGCCCTCACCCAGACCTGCCTTCGGCCAGCGTCCCTGACCGTCCTCACCTGGACAAGTCCGTTCCTGCTTCCTGCTGGGTCATCTGGGAGCTATTGTCCCCCTTGCAGGAATTCCAGGCCCATGCAGGCAGCTCCAGGCCCTGTGCGTGGCTTCTCGGGCACACCTGGGGCAGCAGGGCAGTGTCCTGCCCTGTCGAGGGGCGCCCTTCTCAGCCTCGACTTCCCTAGCGTGAGTCTCAGACGCTCGCGTCCCACTCCCTAAGACGGATCTGAACAAACCCCCCTTTTCTTTCCCAAGTAGCTCACAAGACCAGTGCTTTCAGGTCACGGGGCCCCAAGAGCCCCAAGTTCCTGAGTGCCCCCGGGAGAGGTCTTTGTAAAGCACCCAAAGGCTGCCAAAGCTGCAGCTCCCTGTGGACCAGAATCTGCCAGGTTGAAAGCATTTGTGCTTCCCAAACTCCCTCTGCAAGCCCGACCGTGGGAGCAGCGGCCCAGACCAGGAGGCGCAGAGCAGGTGACCCCGTTTCCCAGATGAGGGTGTGGAGGACGGTCAGGTCACGTGCTCCAGCAGATGTGAGAGGCAGGGCGTGAGGGAACCGCCCCTCTGTCCCTGTGCCCTGCTGTGCAGACTTTCCCTGCACTTTCACCTCCTGCTCTCCCCTGGGGCTGCTGTCACTGTCATCGCGCATCCAGGGCCAGGCCATCACGGCCTCAGTCTCCGATCTTGCCTCCCCAGGTTACACCACGCTGCAGGCGGTCCAGGCCACCATGATCCTGTCCACTATTCTCTGCTGCATCGCCTTCTTCATCTTTGTGCTCCAGCTCTTCCGCCTCAAGCAGGGAGAGAGATTTGTTTTAACTTCCATCATCCAGCTCATGTCATGTAAGCAAAGCCGAGAAGAGCGGGGGCTGGTTGGCCGGGCGGGGCTGGCTGCTGGCTGGAGACAGCCCATTTAGCCTTCAGGGGCTGGATTTCACGGGGGTCAGGGGAGGTGTCCTGAAGATAGGACTCCCGGGCTGGCGTCCGGAGGGTGAATAGAGGTTGCAGTCAAGAGTGCTACCTCGGGACAGAGGGGAGGGAACAGTGTGCCAGATGGAGGGAACAGCACGACTGGAGCCCCATGATGGAAAGGCGGAGCAGGCAGAGGCGCCAGAGTGTGGCACTGGCAGCGTGGCCAGAGTGGCCACGGGTCTGGACTGCACAGGCTCTGGTGAACCGGGTAAGACTCAGGCCTTGGTCCTGAGCTGGCGAGGAGCCATCAGCAGGTGTGTCTGGGATGCTCTCACCTGAAAACAGCAAAGTTGAGCTGTTGCAACAGAGGCCTTACCTGGCTGGCAAAGCCCAAGCTACCTGCTGCCCGGGGTCAGGCTAACTTTCCCCAGGACCATGTAGGACCTACCCTCTGGGTTAGGAGCGTGGCCTCCAGACAGGCTCAGCCCAAGAAGGGTCAGCTACGTGGCCACAGGGCAGGCGGCAGTGACCAGCTGCAGAGTATTGGTTGACCCCTTTCCGGTAGACAGTCACCTACTAACTGCAGTCTAAGTTTAAATGAGAACATTCTCTGCAGTTGGGGCAGGAGCCCCTCAGGGACCCAGTTGCAGGTGTGATTTATGGGGTCCCTGCTCTCTCCCACAGGCCTGAGCGTCATGATCGCAGCGTCCATTTACACAGACCAGCGCGAGGACATTCACAACAAAAACCCTGGCCTCTACCGCGACATCCAGGAGGGCAGCTACGGCTACTCCTTCATCCTTGCCTGGGTGGCCTTCGCCTTCACCTTCATCAGCGGCCTCATGTACCTGATACTGAGGAAGCGCAAATAGAACCCGGAGCTCCCGCTGCAGTCCAGAATCCACATCCAGATAACCGTTTTGTATATAATCATGTTGTGTGTGTGTGTGGTTTTTCTAGCAAACATATTGTTTCCTTTAAAAGCCAAAAAAAAAAAAAAGAGGAGTTTTTGTGTCCTTGAGACCAGGCCAAGCCCGCCAAGGCCGGCGTCCAGCCCCCCACATCTGCAGGCCTCGGCCAGCACAGGCCACAGCCAGGAGGCTCAGACCCCAACTTGCTCAGCGGGAATTTGTTAACCACGGGATGTGATGGACATCACTAGAGGCTGGGAAAGCCGGGGACAGTCCTCCAGGTTTGGGCCACTCCAGCACCCCTCACCTGAGTTTTCCTTTCTGAGTCTGTGTCTGTGGTGGAAGGCGTGAGGTGGGCCAGGTGTGAGGTGGGCCAGGTGAGGGATGAAGCCTCAGGTGTTTAGCCAACTTCCATTGAGAAAGAGGTAGCGCCCTGCGTCCTGTTACCCCCAGCCCCGCCCCCATGATGGCCTGGCTCCAGAGAGGCCCCCCAGATTTGCTAACAGTACCGCTAGCTTCTTTGGGAAGCTGTCTTGAAGGTGAGGGATCCTGTCATGAGCCCTAGAGCCCTTTGCGAAGTACAGACAACACGGGTCCCTGCCCTCGGCTCGGCAAGGGGCCTCGGCACCTGCGCCCCATGCTCTAGGTGGAGGAGCACATCCCAGTGGCGGTGAGCAGGGCTGCCTCCTGCTTGCTAGAGCTCTCGCCACGTAGAGACGGGGAGGTGGTCTAGACCCCAGTGGAAGCCCAGTCTTGGCTTCTGCCGCTCTTGATTCTTCCTGCCTCTTGCACAGCTGCTCCCATCTGGACCACCCAAGCACCAGCCCCAACCCCAGCCATGCACCCTGACAGCCAGACGCCTGGGGGTGCAGGGCCGGGGCCCTCTGTGCTCCGTGCTTTGGGCCGTCCTGTCTCCTGCCCTGCCCCCTAAGGCTGGCCTCTCACACACGTGTCCGTCAGCGTAAATTACAGGGTGCTTGTGTAACAGGCACAGGGAGGGTCCTCATGGGATCCTCGTCTGGTGGAGGAGCTAGATTACAAGCCAGTTAGGAAAGCTCATTCCAAGCAGAGATGAGGGCTTTGAGCCCCACTGAGGACGGGCAAGGTGCTGGGGCGGGAGGGAGCTGGAGGCGTTAGCTGGGCCGGTTTGGCTCGGCTGGTGGAAGTGGCGTCTCTGTCTCACCCAGCGACCCTCTACTCCCAGGGAGGGTCGCAGGGGCCTGCAGCCAAGGCGGCAGGGAGAGAAAGGCGGGCTGTGGTGGTTCTCAAATGTTAGTGGATACAAGGACTCTCTGGGGAGTCTTACCAGGATCTGGGGAACCAGTACTCTGCGCCTTGGCAGCTGCGCTGGGAAACTCAGCTTGGGGGGTTTGTCTTCAGTGTAAAAGCATCGGGAGGTGGGAGGCATGTGAGTGTGTGTGGTCTGCGAAGTACCCTCCCTCCGGAAGGAGCTCTTTGCGCCCTGCTGCTTCTCCCGCTTGTGCTTTGGGGGGTGTCCCTGGGCCGTGTGGGTCCCGTTCACATGGCTCAGCCCAGGGCATCTGCGTTGCCCTTGATCTGCTGAGTGGAGCGATGATTCGCCATCAGCCCAGATCCAGTGAAATTGGGGAGGTGACGAGTTTTTTAGGATCGTGCTTGCACACACTCCTTTTTCTTTGTATCTGCTCATTCACTCTTTCGTTCACACATCCATTCATTGTTCCTTTGTTTCCAACAGAATAGTAAATGCTTACTATGTCCAGGCACTGTGTGAGGCTCTGAAGACAGGGACAAGTCAATCAAGCCCGTCGTCCTCCCCCAAAAGGGGCCATGTCCCGGTGGGGGGCCGCCAGCATGGTGCAGGAGCCGTTGGGCCAAGGCAGAACAAACCCCAGCTCCTGTCCCGAGGCAGCGACTGGAGGCTGTTGTCAGAGATGTAATCCCTATGCCCCACCCTCACCCCACCCCGCTCCCTACCATGAGGTCTGCAGAGTGTTCCATGAGACTAGTGGAGGGAGAGGAGGTTCTAGGTCTCCTGCATTTTCTATGGAGGTTGATTTTGGTAATTTTCTGGTTAGCACAAGGGGAAAAGAACCTTCCAGAAATAGCAATCCTGAAAACCAATCCCCAAGCAATGCATGAATTTCCTGCCCCTGCCAAACTTTAAGGGGTGTGTGAATTTCTGAACTGACCCCATGGGTTTTCCTGGCTGGCTGCTACTCCTGTGTGGCATCAACACCCACGTGCGTCCGTGAGGTCCAGTTCTTGAGTAGTGGAAGACACATTTCCCTGGGCTGACACACGTGGAGTGGGAGTGAGGTGAGGTATGGACACAGTGTCTAACCTTATTCATAGGTAGACTCAGCCTTCGCGTGGTGCTTAAGTTATTCAAGAACAACAAAGAAAATTCGCTGAGAAGCAAATATTAGGACCAAATATATCACTGGTGACAATTGTATTTGAAGGAACTGTAGTTTGCTCATTTTAGGCCATTTTTATAAAGTACTGTAATTCTTTTATTGAGGGGTTATGGATGGAGACAAACTAACTCATTTTGTTATTTGCATTAAAATTACTTTGGGTCTCTGTCAAATGAGTCTGGAGAATGCTTGACGCGCGGTTCTGTCCCCAGACATGGGCGGTGGAAAGCTGAGGGCGCCCACCCCACGCGCTCTGCTGCGTGACCGTCCGTGTGACTGACGGGCTGAAGTCCTAGGGTGCTCTGATGAGCTGATGAGGCAGGAATCTGGACCCCCAAGTCTGGCTAGAAGCTCACTAGACACAGTACAGCATCACTTAGAATCTGCCTGGGTGGGGAATGACCAAACTGGCTACTGATCGGAAAGTTCCAACACAGCAAGTTGGATAATTCAGTGGGGAGGGGGCAGCAGTAATGGGACAGTGTGTGGGAAAATCCTCGACAGTAAGGTGAAATAGTGGGTTGGGGACACTGTGACTTGGGAATACTTAGACACTTTCTACTTAATGTACCGCTAAGAGAGTCCATTTTCTATGTTTTGTATAATCTGAAACTGTACACAAAAATAAAGGTTAAAACCAAATTGCTCGGAGCAACAGACTAATGTTCATAGCCTGCAAACGTCTAGGGAAAATACTGTCATTTCAGGTGGCAGAGAGCACTGACTCATCAGGACGATGATCGGAGGTTTTGCAGAGACTAACTGATGTCTCAACATCTGTCATGGGCAATCTGCTGAGTCTTTTTTTTTTTTTTTTTTTTGGTCTACTTCTTTGTTGTCTTCTGTTTCTATAGGAGCAGCTTCCTGGACAGCCGCCGGTTGTACAGGGCCCGATGCTTCCAGAGCCCCACAGTGATGGCCAGTGCCATCTTCAAAGGTCTAATGACACTTGAGATAAGAACCCCAGTTTGTAAATTGTGTAGCCACACAAGTCATGTGGCAACTCTGCCCTTTAGTTCATGTTTAATGAAGCCTTCTGCTTTAAACTATTGGGCACATGGACATTAGATTAGCTATAAGCACACTTCACTGTCAGTGTAAAATATAGGCATCTTATTTTCAAAGGGTGGAAGGGAGAAGTCTTTAATTTTACCTATGAAATGCAAAACATGTTCAAAGCTAGTGAAACTTGTCTCCACACAGATTACAAGCTAAAACCTCCAGGGGCTACCGTGTGTATTTGTGTTCCTAGATGTTTTTGTTTTTCTTATTTGCCGGGGGTGGGTTGGGGGTGATGGGGGGGATTGGCTTAGGTAGCAGGTAGAAGGAAATCACTCAAGAGCACTCAGTTAGATATTTCTTCCATTCAGGAAACCAACCCATCTTTTTTACAGGAAATATTTGTGGCCTAACATTTGATCTCTCTGGAAAATGTTTCATGTGTGTTATGAAGACTGACTATTCTATTGCCATTGGATGGAATGTTCTAGATATATCTGTCAGCTCCATCTGGTATAAAATGTAGTTCAAGTCCAATGTTTCCTTCTTGATTTTCTGTTGGAATTTTCTATTATCTATCCATTGTTAAAAGTGGGGTATTAAAGTCCCCATTGTTATTGTATCACTGTCTATTTCTGTCTTTGGATTGGTTAATATTTGCTTTATATATTCTGATGTTAGGTGCATAAATATGTATAATATCAAAGGGGTCATCACAATGATATAAATATTCACCAAATAGTTGTGCACACATTGTACCATAAACATTGTGCTGCATGTCAGCTAAATCATGATGAATTTAGTACTTGCTCTGATCTAAACTTTTTTTTTTTAAAGATTTATTTATTTGTGCATACAGAACTGGGGTATAGGCCAGAGGCTCAGGGGTGGTGAGAGGCTTCACCAGAGACAGAGCGGGGAGCAGAACAGGCAGATCGACGAAGTACCCTGCTGAGGGGAGCAGCGGGGGGGGTCAGGAGAGGTCTGCCACGCCATGTGGTCTCCTCCGGGGCAGGTGGGAATTGAATTCATGTGGAAGTGGCTTTAGCTTCTTAGTGCTGCATTTTAACCTGCTGCACCACCAGGGAGGGCCCTGATCTAGACTATTTTATCTCCAACTTCCAAAAAAAAAAAAAAAAAAAAGACCAATATTTGGTGACACCTGAAAATGATATGAAATTCAAATTTCTGTGTCCATAACTAAGATCATGAAACACAGCCATACCCATTTGCTTACACACTGCATATGGCAGAGCTATCACAGGATTTGGGTGGTCTGCGAAGCCGATAATACTATTTATCCCACAATAGGAAATACTCGCCACCCCCAGTCTACCCAAGCAAGAAGGGGACTCTTTTTCCATGAGAAAGAACTTTAACAAACTCTTCCTAATGTCACTAGCCTAGGGATTTAAATTTTCATGCTCACCCTAGTCCCTGGCAGCGGTAATTAAAGCACCACAATTAGCATTGGCCCCTGAGCTTGGCATTAGAATCCTTCTGAACCACACAGTCTTCTAGAAAAGACGGGGTTGACTATTGGGGGTCAACTGACGGTACTATCTACTCTTTGCTGCCCAACATCCATGCACAACTTCTTTGGGGGAGGACATAGTCTAAAGAAGGGTGACCCCGACAGTCCACACCGGACAGTGTGGACCCCACATAGGTTCTGTTCTTCCTTGTCAGTCTCCACTGGAGTCTCCACTTTATCGAGTGGGTTTCCTCTCTCAAGCTGATCTTGTAATTTGTCCCAGGAGATTAAAGATACATTTTGGCTTATATCCCTGGTCAGAGGTTCTGTCTCCAAGAAAGCCCATCCTGTCTCTACTCAACCTCTTGTTCAGCCCCCACTGAAACTTCTAGAATTTCAGGGATCTGGGGCTCAAAGGGGGGAAGGGCAGGTGCAGGCTGTGCTGGGCTGTCCCTGACGGCTGATTTCACCGCAATAATCCAGTTCCAGAATGTGTGTAGTGTAAGGACCTGTGGTTTCCGGCTCATCACCTGTGGGGCAGGGCCTTTGACTCTCTTTTTCTGTTCTCATCTCTGCTTTTCTCGTTCCCACCTGAGGTTGTGGTACTTCGACCACCCAAACCCTGCCCGGAGGTGGGACAGGCAGTGCATTTCATGCCTTAAGCCTTGTGTCCTACCGTGCAAAATGAAGAGAATGCTTGGCTCTGAGGATAGTGCGTTTGGTCTTCTATTCGCCAGGTATTTGTTGAGCACCCACTATGTGCCACACATGGGGCTAGGCACTGGAGACTCAAGGATGGACCAGACAGAAGGGTGGCATGTACGCATGGAGCTGACAGTATCCTGAGGGTGGGAGACAGACAGAGAGCAAGAAAAATGATAAATAAAATTACAAATTGGGGCGTATCTGCAAGGAAGAAGTTTCTGTGAGGACAGTTACTTGTGGTGGGTGAGAACAAATCCTTAATGAGATGACATTTAAGTTCCACTGCCTCGGAGTGGTTGTGGGGTCCATCCAGAGATGCCCAGAACTGCAGTTCACAGAGCACCTTCCTGGAATTATACCACTTACCTGGTCCTCACCACAACCCCTCAGGTGCAGAGGGCAGCCTCTGGCATGCCCATTTCATTGTGGGGAAGTGGTGAGATGAGCTGTTCAGTACATGGACGCAAAGCCATTTCCTAGGGTCTCTCTTCTAGAAAGTCACCTCCTATGAATAATGGTGGACACCTGCAAGATAAAGATGGGTCTGGGTCAGCTGCCGGTGGCTGGGCAGCTCTGCTCATCTTTCCTGGAGATGCTCGCACTTCTGGGTGTCAGCTGGTAAAGGCTGGCCCCGGCTGACATGGCCCCGGAGACCCAGCCCTGCGCCATGCATCTCTAGCGCGCTGGCAGCTCGGCTCAGCCCGGCCTCCCTGGCTGAGGTGTGGGAAGGGGAGGCCCCCTGAATCTAGGCTTAGGACTGAGACACCAGCACTGCTGCTGCCCTCCAGGTCGAGGGAGGGAAAACCCCATCTTTAAGCAAGAGGAAGGCAGTCACTTTACAGAGGCTGGAGTGGTGGGGGAGGGCCAGCGCAGGGCAAGGAGTTGAGGCCATTTACGTTCTCTGTAAGGGCAGGCCTCCACTTAGGGCTGCAACTGAATTGTTTAGGGCACCGATGGAATCTTTCCGAAAATACAGATCGCAGACTGCGGGGCCTCAGCTGCATGCTTGCTTGGTCACGATAGCAGCAGACAAAAAAGCAGGTCACCAAGCCCCTGTGTGGGGGCAGGGCCAAGTCTTCATTCCAAGGCAGCAGCACATGTAGCAACAGCAGCGGCGTCCAGCAGTGGCCAGCCCCGCTGGGCTTTTCGCTACAGTGGCCCCTTGAGTGGCCGGCAGGAGGCCCTCCGGAGGACTCCTGCTAGCTTTTATAAGATTCACAGATGAAGGCCACACAGGGCCACGTTTAGGCCTCGTTTGCAGAGGTCTGTTGATGCCTCTGAGCGCTACACCATGGCCTCATGTTATTTACTGCCTCCTGCACGTGTGGGCCTCATCTCAGGGCTACAAGTGGCCTCCCAGGCTGCCTGTGCTGGACGGTCCAGGCGACAAGCAGTCCAAGAAACTCTGGGAAACCGTTTCCCACGGGCCCTACGCAGACTCACTAAATCTCCGCCGTCATGACCCAGAACTCAGTGGCACATGAGCCGTCCAGGTGGCTCGATGACCACAGCACTTGGCAAAACATCGCTTTGTGGGCCCCGACCTGAATGTGTAAGTTGCACAGGTTATTTTCATTTGAAAATGGGAGGTAAACACTGGCATGAGAAGTGTTTTCTACAGAGACTTCTATATGAGTCAGCGCTTCTCTTCAAAAAAAGTATCCCCCTAACTTATGCCTCCAAAACTTACCTGGGTTCTTTCAAAATTTCTCTTAGTCTGTGCTCCGTGCTGTGCACAGGGATTCTCAGTGCTAGCGCCATCGATGTCTGGGGCCAGAAAAGTTCTTGGAAGGGGACGGTGCTGTGGGACGGATATTTAGCAGCTTTCGGGGTCTCCATTCCACACCCCCCTATTGTGACAACCCCAAAGGTCTCCAGATATTGGCCAGCATCCCTGAGGCGGGAGGCAAATGCCCCTGTAACTGGGTAATCCCCAGGAAAGGGTCTCTGCCTACCCAAGGGAGGGTGGAGCTGGCCCGAGGGGAGATCCAGAGGGCACAGGGAGAGGGGCGGAGGGAGATGAAGAAGGCCTGGAGGAGGCATGTGGAGCAGGTTCCTGAGGAAGACATGTTTGCTTCTTGGCCTTGGCCTGGCACCAGGCACTTGGGGGCCATGGGAGGTGAGAGTTCCACGGGGAGGCTGGCCACGGCGGCCTCCATCTTGACTTGGGTCTTGACTTTGCTCTTCCTCCCAGATCTGCCTGGCCCTTTGCCCTTGCTGCGGCTCCGCCAGCAGCCACCTTAGACTTGTGGCTAGGTCTCGGGCCTCGGGGCCCTGCTTTGGGCCAGCGCTGTTTGGCTGGGCATTTGCCCATGAGGGGATGCCTTACGGGTGTTTTTCTTTTTTTAAGATTTATTTATCTATGCATACAGAACTGGGTACAGGCCAGAGGTGCAGGGGCAGTGAGGGGATTGACCAGAGACAGAGCGGGGAGCAGAACAGGCAGATCCACGAAGTACACTGCTGAGGGGAGCAGTGGGGAGACAGAAGTCTACTGTGCCAGGGGGTCACCTCGGGGACAAGGATCAGACTCGCCCCGAAGCAGGTGTGGCCAGCTTGCCGTGCTGCGTCCTAACCTGCTGCGCCACCAGGGAGGCCTCACCGGGTGTGTAGTGTGGATATTTTACCT